AATTCCTCCATTAACCTGCAAACTTTGTGCTGTTTTTGTATCTTACGTGTCCAATTTGGTTAAGCCCTTTTTATCAAAGACTCATGCTAGGGATGGGAAGTAACTAATGTAATTGTGCAAACATTTTAGTTATTGGTGGTTATTTCCCTTTTAATATTTTTACATTACGAATTTAGGTGTGTCGCGCATTTCACAGATATTCGAAGGTTTATTTTCTCGCCACAAAGTATCCCAAAGAGGTGTCAGGACTCAACGCAAAATGTCTAGTATAGAAATGCTTAAAAAAAATTATATTCTCAGCTAGTCTGTAAGGCTGTGCTAAATATTAGCCTAGCAATTTCATACGATACGCCACAGCCGGTAAGTAGTTAAGTACCAATATTGCACACTTTCCTTAATTTCGAATGTTAACCAGTTTCGTCCTTCTCAGGACGAAATTTGTTGTTATTTGAAGACCCACCCTGGCTTTTGCCAGGGGCCGCAATATAGGCAGGCCATAGATGTGGCCAATTGTCAGAAAGCGGTTTCTGGGACCTCTCCACGGCGATCCTCATCCACATGGTGGCACTTAGTGTCATTGGGTGTTTATCGCTTGTGTAATGTCCTGGTGGGGTAGAAAGTCAAGTAAATATTGCACAGCGCTGTGGATGAGATACTGTGCGAACTATCATCACAGCAATCCTTCACAGCCATAGTTGCACTGATCTTCTCAGTAGCTGCTCAAGTGTAATACGACTGATGACTCCAGCTCTGTGTTAATTATTCATAGGTCTTGTGCCCTTATTGAAATGCCAATGCCTGGAAGCTCCAAGTTGCTCCTACATGTTTACCAGCCTGGAAAGGGATATGGGGATAAAGTCTTTTGCTGTAAAGTAAAACTTCTATTTACCGTCACCGTTCGAACAAGGGATGTGACGGATAACCGAATAAACAGATAACAGACATCTCTTAATACAGAAACGTGACTTCACTTCGGGCTGGCTATGAAACTGAAAATACAATCCTTTACAAGTGAATAATACATAATACACAAGATTTTTTTTAAAGAAAATGATCAAAAGAAACTTCAATATAAGAGTAGTGATGTACGGAAATGTATTGTAATACTACGAACCTACGTCACTTTAAAATAATGTCATCTTCTTCTGTGTCAGTGTGGTTCGAGTTTTTTGTGTAGCAATGTTCCGTATCTAACGAAGAAGTAGCATCTGTGTTATATTTGCCTCCTCGTGCATTTCAAACCAGTCGATGTACTTTGATAACATTGTTTCTGATGTTTGCTGATACTCACTTGTTTTTAACGATAACGGATAGCAGAAACTGACAGTTAAACGAGTGAGGTCCAAAATGAAGCAATGCGCATCATCTTAGCTGCACCAAAGACACATTGTCTAGAGCAGTGGATCTAAACCTGTCGGTCGTGACTCTTTTGTGTGTGGCTCAAACGACATTTCACATGGGTCGCCAAAGACCATCGGAAAATACATATTCATTGAAGTTACAGAAGTTATGAAGTAGTAACGATAATAAATATATGTTTGGTTCTCGTAACAACAGGAGGGTCGCGGCATTACGAAGGTTTAGAGCCAAGATGTGGAGCAATGAGATACCTGCTAGATCTTAAAGATATAAATAGCAGGCTTGAATTGCGCCAAGAGTGTGCCTACCTCAAAATCACTGCAGTATGTACACATACACTGCACAATTAATTGAGCACATGTAAAGGCAACAGACTCAGTGCATGGACTTTCACGACAAGAACTAAAGGAAAAGTCATCAGAGAAGAACTTGGAGCCTTTGCTTCTACCACTAGTAGCATGATAATGGAAAACGTAGCTGTGTTATAAAGGCGCTAGATTGGCTAAAAACTCAAGAATTCACCAATGCATTCTTTCTCAGCGACGCATTGAGAATGCTATAGTAGATATACGCAAACCGTGGCTCCATCTAATACAGCATGCCACGTTACGCAGAATCACTTTCAGTTTTGTCCCAATGTATTCTAGTGTGAAAGGCAAAGAGAGAGCAGACACCCTGGCTGGCAGTGCGACTATCCGGGATGGGCCATCTGTGGACAGGAGAGACATCATTAGAGCCACCCGAGAGACTAAACACTGTGAGGCTTTCAGCTTCATGGAAAAAGATTTTCCCCTTAATAGACCGCATATATAAATGGATCTACCAATTGGAGCGGCCAGACAGGAAAATCATACGGAAGCCACCCGTCGTTGTATCAACCAAACAAAATGGGGGCTATTAGCCTAAAAACACTTGGAGACATAATCAGGATGAGATCGGAGCATGTCTGATGTGCGATGAGGATGATCTTTAAATAAACAATGAACAATGAAGTTTTACTGTATTAGTCGTCGCAATATCTTCTTCTTCTTTCGTTCGCATGAAATAAATTATCTATATCTGCAATGCTGTCTCAAGTATGAATTTCACTGTCTTTTGTATTTCACTAAGCGGCCCTTAAAGTTTAACTTCCACGAGTGTCTCTTTTGGCCAGACGTTTTGCATGAAAGCGTTGAATTTGGGACAGTCTTGGATGATGTGATCTGCTGTCTCAGGTGCCAGTCCACAGGTACACATAGCTGATTGGCCAATCTTAAATTTGTTGTACATGTGGCAGCGAAGTCGATTGTGCCCTGTTCTAAGGCGAAGGATAATGAGTCGTCGCAATATGCATTACGTTTAGAAAGCAGAAGTGAAAAATATCTCGACTACGTAGTACTTGTAAAAATGTAACTTTTTGGCTAGTTTTACGTTAGTCTCCCCAAACAAAGTACGTCATGTTTCATTCGCAAGTTTGTTGGGCTGGTGTCCTTTCCTGCAGGTTGCACGTGTGCCGCTCTGTTGTTTATTTTCTGTGTTGTTTTGCATTTATTGCATTTACGTTTTTCTTCTGAGAAAGAGAATGCCCGTGACATAGGTTGCAGCTTCCTCGGGGAGGGGGGGGGAATTGTGGCGGCGGGGAAGGGGGTGTCAGACCCAGTTTGACAATGTTTTTGGAGTGTTAAAAGTAGGGCTATACCGAATATTCGCTTCGTATTCGCTTAGTGGACCCAATAACTATTCGGTATTCGGCCGAATAGTTGCGGTCGGGCCGAATACGAACAGTGGTTACCTCACAACCGTTTCTGGACTGGTGGAAAAAAACATCAAGACTTCCCACCTTGGTTTATACTGTGAAGCGTTATCTTTGTGCACCACCTACGAGCGTACCAAGTGCCCCTTTATTTCCATCTTGCATGTGTTGCGAGTATAGTGTTTTTAGGTGTGTTGCTGTAGAAACAAAATGCAACACTTAAAAATGTAAGAGGGGCAGAAAAGCAAGTGTTCTAGTGTTGTCGGCTTGATTTCTTTGAGTGGAGTGTCCTCTTCGTTGATTCTTTGAAGAAACGGGAGTCGTCATCATTTATGGCGTCGTATCTGTTCTTTCGTCGTCTCGTGGAAACGGCAGCGGCTGAATGTTTTGATCGACGTTCGGTTTTTTGATTGTCTTTGTTGTTTGCTCGCGGGGTTGGCTGCCCGGTGACTTGTCGCGGGGGCATTGTTGTAAGGACGGCATTGTTTTCGTCGGGCGTTATTTTTGTTTTTGATGTTTCGCCTTGCGGGTTTTCATTTTGACTCTCTGTATTTGTCGTATTTTCCTGTTTAGTACAGCTGGAAATACCTTCAGTGAGACAAAAAGCTGGCCTAATGCTGACAACATGGAACGAAGGTTTTTCATGGAGGTGTGTCAGCACACAAACTAATACGTGCTGCAGGAGATCGCAGATTGTGGCGAGGCATAATCGCCCATGCCAGGGGCAAAGCACATGATGATGATGATTCACTATTCGTATTTGGCCGAATAGTTGGTCCAGCTGTTCGTATTCGACCGAATAGTGAAAATCACTTTTCGGTACAGCCCTAGTTAAAAGCGCTGGTCTACCAATCAGAAGTGAGCTAGTGTGTACGGCTGAGTAAATGGGGAGACAAGTTAGTTTTATCAATATTTTTTTACTCAGTCGGGAAAACGTTTCCACGTAATTCTTACGTTGAATGGCACAAACTTTGTTCCGGGTTCAGTTTAAGTAAACTCCAGACTGCGTAAAAACCGCTATATGCCAGTTCATTAGGTAATGCCATTACTGTGACATGTGCAGGAGCGCTTACACAAAGAAAACACTGGGGGGGGGGGGCCTCAAGATGTTTAAACCTTGTTTAAGTGAGTAATGATAGTAATAACAGTAATAATACTGATTTAACTTATATTTCAGTCTGTGGCTTAGGCGTTGCGTCCGCGCTCCGTAATGCCCACGTAGCTGGTTATATTCCAGCTGAGAGCGATTTGACAGCAGACATATTTGCATTGATTTCGACAGTAGTATCAAGAACCAGATGTATGGGGCGAGACAAAAACATTGAACAGTTGGGATAAAAGAACTTTTATTGCTAGAAACGGTATAAATAATGATATAAACGAAACTGAGAAATATCTGTTTGTGTCAGATGCAGCTAAAGTAAGGCAAAATAACTGTGACAGATAGGAATAAAGTAAGCAATCACTGGTTTTCCCTTGATCAGCCCATCCCTAAATTATTTTGCTGGGAATGTCCGAGTACCGATAATTTGTTCCATCACTTGTGTAATAAACACTTTTTCACGAGTAAAAGTACCTTTTAGGATACTTTGTGGTGAATGCCACCACTTTTTCTCCCCTAGAAAAAGCCCTGCCTATATAGTATATGTAAAGCCTAGCCAAAAAACATTTGCCACCACCCCATTGTTCCTCTAAAGGACAGAACAATGAATGCGATATGCGAGCTCTTCTGAACTGGAAGATACAAATTACGTACAGTGTGTTTTGTGTCGTCTGTGTTCTCTCTGACTTTCATAGAAGAGTTTGTGTTTTTGCCACCTCCTATTTGACCGGTAAAGATTGTAAGACAGTAGACAACTAAATCCTTAGTGGTTGTGCGGCCGCAAACAAAGTCATCTGTAACTTGACTATGAAGTCTGTTACAAGCGCTCGGAAACGTATCTTGCAGTACCCAGAGGCGTTGGCAAGGTGTGCTGCACAGGTGGGAAACATTTTTATTGAGGTTTTTACACACTCAGTTACTGCAACTTTGTTTTGTATTTATTTGTAACAATTTGTTAAATTTAACTGTAGGTAAGAATTTAAAGAGTTAAAATTATGTATACACGCAAACGCACACACAGATTGTTATATCATTTGTAACAAATACATTTTGGGTACTCCTGTCAAATCCGGACGAAGAATAAAAAGCCTTGGACGACTTAGTCAGAGTTCTCTCCCTTGGGCGCACTGCGAACAGTGATCGGAAAAGCCAACGAAACAAAGAAGACAGTCACGTCGACATCAGGGCTGCCAATGCTTGGTTGTTTCCCCCAGATCTGGGTTTTTTTTTCGACGCTGCAGGACAATTCTGGGGTTTTTGTTGGGTGTGTTTTGTTTGTTGGTTTTTGCCGATTTGTATGCTTTAATGATCGATAAATTTGCGTGGTTAGGGGTAGGGGTTAGGGTTAGGGAGTAGGATTAGGATTAGGGTTAGCGGTAGGGTTAGGTTTAGCGTTAGATTTGACAATTTTGACGCCGGATTTCCCTATAATCGCGCACAGTCCCATACACACACAAAAACAATCGAGGGCCTCTGGATGCTGGTCAAACGCACAATTCGCCAACGATTGGGGGCACCAGCCGCACGCGATTGGCGTCATATTTGGCAGCGTTTCAGTGGCGCCACTCCCACAAACATTTGATTGTCGGCCAGTATTTCGAAATCCTACGTCAAAATTTTCACATCTAACCCTAACCCTACCTCTAACCCTATCCCTAACCCTAACCCTAACCCTACCCCTACCCCTAACCCTAACCCTACCCCTAACCCTAACCCTAACCCTAACCCTACCCCTAACCCTACCCCTAACCCTAACCCTACCCCTAACCCTACCCCTAACCCTACCCCTAACCCTAACCCTACCCCTAACCCAACCCCTAACCCTAACCCTACCCCTAACCCTAACCCTAACCCTACCCCTAACCCTAACCCTACCCCTAACTCTAACCCAACAACCGCATGATGATGACTACACAACCATTCACAATGCCTCACGAAACCGTACGCAGCCCTACACGCAACCGCAGGATGATAGGTAAGTGTGTCGTTTATTTCGTTTGTTTTCCGATTACTGTTCGGAGTGCGGCCAAGGGAGAGAACTCTGACTAACTCGTCCACGGCTGTTTATTCTTCGTCCGGATTTGACAGGAGAGCCACATTTTGTTACTTAACTACAACTTTGTTTTGTATTTTATAAACTCAACTTTAAAAGGATTATTATCATTAGTAAAAATAAACAAATAAATTTGTGTTTTCAAAGTTAATATATTTAAAAATTAAAACATTTTTAGTATGGGACTAGCTCAATGACCACAGCCCCCAGGTCGACCCAGCCTTAAATGGGTACCAGGAAAATCATGGGAAGTGAGGGTGGCCTTTGTGGTACTGACCACATCACCCACAATGCTGATTTGTCTATCAAATATAGGTCTAGCCCTATATGCCCATTACACATGAAGATGGGGTAAAGGGTTCTTTAATTTACTTTATTTTTATGGGACTATCTATTCTTCTTGCATTACATACAGCTTCTTTATATTATTATTATTATTCTAAACTTAAAAAGAAGGCCTTGGGAAGTATTCTTTTTTGTGCTGGCAATCAAACTGATTCTGATCATATTCCACATCAGGGCATTATTTTTTCAAGCAAATAAAAGGTGTCGGTACCCAGCACTGAGTGTCTAAAAAGGTTCTGGTGCTGCACACTGCCAGAAAAAAAGTGACTTGCTGCTTACTCGATCAGTTTCTAGGGATTCATGAGGCCATTAAAATAGCATAATTACAGAAGTAAAGGAAATAAATATAAAACTATATTATTTGGTAAATTAGTAACCGTTCGAGACAAAGTTAGAAAGGACATTATCAGACAGACTGTAAGAACAAGACCATGCAGCAGATTCAATGAGATCTGATTGTTTGGTCATCTAGTTTTGATCATACTCCACATCAGGGCTTTTTTTCCCAGCAAATAAAAGGTGTCGGCCTCGGTATTGAACACAGAGTGTCTAAAAAGGTGCCGGTACTGCATACCGCCTGAAGAAAAAGCCTTGCTGCGCACTTTATCAGTTTTTGGGGGACTCATGAGACCACTGAAATAGCATAATTACAGAAGTAAAGGAAATAGCAGGAAAACTATATTAAGTCTTGCACGCTGGGATTTGGTGTTCTGCCTCACATAGTACAAAAAGTTAGTTGCTTATCCTGTACAGGACGTTGCAAATTTGCCATTGCTTTCTATATGGTCATCTTCTCGATACCATTGTCGAAACCAACGCAAGGTGCAAGGCCCGCAGCTTTGATCAAACCTAGCACCCCATCATTACAAAGCATGTTTGCAACACCCAAGCCACAGACGCCGACAAGTACTTCAAAACAGTGTTGAATATGACTTAACTCTTTGAGTCCCAGGGGGTTTAGCATCAGAGGCCCAAGGGGTGGTTGAGAGAGAAGTAAAATTCGGCTAATCATGCGTTCATTGGGCTTCTAGGTAGGAACCTATGAGCAAATGATGCGTTCCTTGGGACTCAAAGAGTTAATGTTTTATCCCTGAACTCTGCTACATTCCATTACTATTATGTTTGATCAGTACTTTCAGGTTCCCTGTTTGGGTTCTGTGGCCCTATTTCTGGGGTAAAGAGAATAGATCCATGGCCCCTGTAACAAGCATGTCATAAAAGGCTAATTATGGGTTTCCTATCAAATCAGAGTGCATCTTCCTGAAAAGCAGACTAAAAGTCTGCATACAAATAAACCAAACCTGAAAAATGGTTGTGCAAGCAAAACTCAAGTGGGTTGGTTTGATCTTGGTAACATCACAGCAAATGAACCTTATATTTGTGACAGGCATAGATAGGTAGACAAGGCAATACTTGACAGACAGATTATTATCATTGGAATACATATATTGTTGATAGAGTCAGTCTTGTGTATCTGTTTTTATTATTTATAATATAAATTGTGGCACTCCTCCGAATAACGGCACCAAATTACCTAGCTTAAAACCCTACCCTTACAGGGTATTCACACTTTAAAGAACAACAAAACACCAGGCAAAGATGAACTGCCAGCAAAACTTCTCAAAGTAGATCCCAACACAACTGCTAGCATTCTAGAACCATTGTTCAAGGATATTTGGGAAAAAGAAGTGTTGCCTGATGACTGGACTGAAGGAACAATAGTCCAAATCCCCCAAAAAAGGATACTTAACAGACTGCAAAAATTGGAGGGGAATTACTCTACTCTCAGTACCAAGCAAAATATTTTGAAAATCATCATAATGCGGCTTGAAAAAGGAGTAGATAAATGCCTATGAATAGAACAAGCAGGATTCAGAAAGGGCAGAGGAACAACTGAACACATCTTCGCCATACGTAACATTTTAGAACAATGCAATGAATGGCAGAGAAGTATATACATAAATTTTGTGGACTTTGAGAAAGCTTTTGACAGCGTCCATAGAGACAGTCTATGGAAAATTTTACGTCATTATGGAATTCCAGAAAAAATAGTCAACATAATTGCTCTCTTCTATAAAGACTTTTCCTGCAGTATAAAAAATTACAATACATCCTTCCCAGTAAAGACAGGTGTAAGACAGGGATGTGTTATGTCATCTCTCCTCTATAACCTTGTGATTGATTGGATACTAAAGAACACAGTAGACATGACATTGAGAGGCATACGATGGACTCCATTTACCATGCTTGAGGACCTTGATTTTGCAGATGATATAGCACTCCTATCACATATACATGAACATATACAAGAAGAACAGTAACAGATTCACAGCACAGCAGAAATGGTGGGACTGAGAATAAATACAAAGAAAACTAAGATCATGACAAGCAGTCCAAACCAACAACCAGTGACCATCAATAACCAAACTCTTGAAAATGTAGAACATTTTACATATCTTGGCAGTGTGGTGTCCCTGCGTGGAGGGACCAAAGAGGACAAACAGTCACGTCTGAACAAAGCTTGAGCTGCTTTTGAAAGGATGAGGCAAATCTGGATATCCAACAATTACTGCAGAGGAACGAAACTGCGACTCTACAAGAGCATCATTTTGCCAGTTCTTCTTTATGGAGCGGAATGCTGGAGGGTGACCAAAAAGGATAGACACAAGCTGTCCACCTTTCACCACACATGTCTACGTAGAATTATCAAAATTTCCTGGCTAGATGCAATCTCAAACACTAAACTACTTCAAGTCACAAACCAAGAAACTTTAGACAGTATGATAACCAAGAGAAGATGGAAATGGCTTGGCAATGTTATGAGAATGAATCATGATTTACCCACCAAAACAGCTCTCACGTGGACACGAGAGGGAAAGAGAAAACAGGGGCGCCCAAAAACAACATGGAGACGAACGATGGAAAGTGACCTGAGTGCGGCATCTTTGACATGGAAAACTGCACTGAAGATTGCACAGGACAGGAACACATGGAAAGTCCTCTCTGAAGCCTCATGTGCCACTAGGCATAACGAGAACTGATGATGTATTACAGGGCCTCAGTGATATGTAAAATTAGGATTTATTTATTTCTGGCAAATATGGAAGGCAGACTATCAGCTCCGACACACATTAGCGATAATGTTCTACCAATTTATGAACTGGCAGCTGTAGATGCTGGACCTGCCAACTTATATAAATTAATGAATAATAAACTACAGTGGTTGCAATGGCTTGCTACACACTGATTAATACAAAACAGTAGAATGTTCTTGCTGCAAACGTCTGATGTCATTAGTTTTGCAGTTGGACTGTTGTGACAGATTCTCATGGCTGTGTTAGGGTTAGGGTAGGTTTTTGACCTAGATAATTTGAGTCTGTTTTTCAGAGGAGTGCCCACATTTTTATTTGAAACAATTTTTAGGCACACATATGATTTATATAAAGAATTTTTTTGGCTCTTTTTGTAGGCATCAATTTATGGGAAATGTGTGGCTTCAAAAGAAAATATTGGAAAATCAAACTGTGTAAAAGAATTTGAGGCATTGCAGGAATGTTTCAAAAATTCTGTGAGTAATTTTGCAATGATTTTGTGTTTGTATTCATACTCGTTATCCTGAAGGTGAAAAGTAGTTGAAATAATTTGCTGTTATTGTGAAAAGGTGGGGAGTCGCCATGGCAAAGCGGCTAGACAAGCGCCACATATCGGAAGGTCGTGGGTTCGCTGACCACATCACCAATCTTGTGCCGTTGGTCTATAAAATATAGGTCTATCCCTATATGCCCTATACGCATAAAGGCGTGGAAAAGAGCCCTTTACTTTTTTTTTAATTGTGAAAAGATGGCAGCTGTGGAAAATCATAGGTATACAAAATGGACTGATAAATGTTTGAGGCATTTACTTAGTGTTCTAAAGGCTGTCTTTTAGTTTTGCGGACTGTCATTCGATTACCAATTGCAGTTTTTATGAAATTCTGTAAGATCATTGCTGGAGCTGCAGTGTGTGTGCTTTATTTTAAAGCTCTCGGCAGGAGGCATTAAAAAGAATTAAACTTTTTACAAACACTTCTATGTGTTCTGGGGTACCATCATAGGAAAAAGAAAAGAATAGACCTGCTCCCTTTCCAGCATCCCTCCAACGAGCATGTTGTAAAAGCTGACTAATTAATTAGGGGTGTTACTCTTAAAGTCAGAGTGCATCTGCCTGAGAGACGAGGAACCAACAGTCTGCCTAGAAATAAGCCAGATCTGTAAAACAAATGTGCATGCAACAAGAATAGAACAAGAATAAGGTCTAAAAAAAAATGGACGAACAGCCAGAAGTTTTCACCATGATTTACAGCTAATATACGTTAAGATGTATCTTTCACAGTTAACATTTTTGCAAAAACAGGTAACTTGCAAAGAGAGCTGTTTAGCCACATCAGGCTTAATTTCATATTTTTAGGGCAAGGAAATGAGAAGGAAAACTTGAGTACTTTGTAAGAACAGGGAAAAAAAGAGGCGGGCAGAGACCAGGAGAGAAAACATTAAACATTTTGGTATCATGCTATGGAGAGTCATCTGTATCAGAACAGAAAATGTTGGCAGTATGTGATGTGGAAGGTGAGACACAGCATGGTCTTTAATAATAAGTGTTCTATTGACAAGGTCAAGTCCATGGAATGGATGTGAATGTAGTAATATTTATAACATGGACAAAGAAGAAAAGAATTACTGACATCCTAAAAGATCTAAACATCAAGATTGGCTTATAAAGAGCATTTTGTCTCTGAAACTGAAATATTTGGACCATATAAAGCACCACAGAAGTTTGGAATAATTATAGCAGAAGACGTAGTTTCAGGAAAGAGGGGATGATGATGAGTAATAACCTTTGAAATTTCAGTATACACACTCTCCTCCCTGGGCAGTGATATTCCGTGGCATGGAATACTATATATATATATATATATATGAGTATGAGGTTAAGACCCCAAATACACTAGGTAATTTGCTTTATGAGATGAGGTGACCTGTTACCTTCTTTTGTACCTTTATACCCAAAAAAAAAAAAAAAATTTGCTCAACTAATTTCATTTTGCTAGGAAAACAGAAAGCTGCATTTTGTTGATAAAATTTGATTATATCAACCCTTATGACCATTAAATTAATGGTAACTCATTTATAGTCATTGCCGTGTGGTTTTGGTAGTCATGTCTATCCTAACCTTCTGTCTCATGTACTTTTTCAGTCAGTTCCGACACAGATTATCTTCCATGACATGATGTCACACTGTCCAGCATCTTCTCTCTTGGTCTCCCTCTGCCTCTTTCCCTTCCAACTTTCCCATCATCATGATGCAGTCCACTTTTCTCCTTCTCATAACATGACCAAAGAATGTAGATTGTCTCCTTCTGATGTGGACAAATCAGTTTTCTTTGTGAGTCATTTTCGTTCCAGACATTCTCTTAACTGTTTTTATCTGCCCATGGTATCATTCGTCTATAAAACTGCATCTCCGCTGCTTCCAAATAGTTTTTCACTATTTCTGCCATTGTCCATGATTCAGTTTCATATATCAGGATAGGATTTATAAAGCTCTTGAGAATTCTTTTTCTCATCTTGGTTGACAAAAAACGATTACATAAAGTGTTGTTCAGTTTGTAAAATGATTGCTGGGGGCTGCGTGGTCTCGAGGCATGGTGTCCGTCTTGAGAGCTAGAGAGGTTCTGGGTTCAATCCCTGGTAAGCGCTGAAATTTTTGTCCCATGGACTTGGACTTCCAGTAACTCCCCCTGGTCTCTGGGTGAGTGAGATGGGACGCCCTTAAAAAAATCGCTTGGCAGTTGAAAAGAGTAGACTAACAGCACTACCCTGGCAAAATGTTAAGGTAATAATCTACCCAGAGTATTTCAGGATCCTCACCGGTGTCACAGAGCCTGTGCACTGTGCTAAGCTACTTCAGACTCAGACTTGACTTATGGGTTACAACCGTATGCCATGATGTTGATCCATTGTTCACAACCTCAAACCTCAAACCTAAAATAATGGCTAGATCTAGCAGATTCTAATTAATTATTGACACATTCTCTGTTGGAAGATGAAAGACAAAATAAATACCAATTCTGTGAGAGAGACTAAGAATTACTGGATTACACCAAGTGCAATAATGTTGATACTGCAACAAAATAATACCCATCCTTTTCCAATTTTTATTTCTTTTTTTTTTATTAAGATTATAAACTTGAAGTAAAATTATTTATTTCAGAATATATGTTTAAAAAAGAAAATACTTGTTTTACAATGTTCTCAGTTCATATTTTGTCATTTGTATTTATTTTCTAAATAGCTGAAACAAATGAAATAACCGAGACAGGAGCTGGAGAAATGTGCAAATTCCGAGTGAGAAATCATAGAGTAAACATTATTTATCTTTGGTTCATTCTCAGTCACCACATATTTTCATAATTTTAAATTTGTGACTGTTTGTGACCCTTTTCCCTCAATAACACCTACCCACACTGAACTACAGGTTACTTTATAACCATTTTGTGTTGCCCCAATATCTCCGTGACGAAGTGGTCAAGCCTCATGCTCTGAAGGTCATGGGTTCGTTTCACAGTGGCATCCTTCAGTTCACAAGTACAGTTTTTATGGAGATCCCTGGGGATTGTCAGCGGAGCTACAGAGTTCGTGCTCTGTGCGGCGCTCTAAGCAGGCGGCTATCCGCTCTGAAGAGACAGACCGAGCCATATGGGAAAAAATCCTGTACAGTGAAGTCGATCCTTTCGACTTTAACTTTTAACCAGTATAACTGTTGTACGGTTAAACATGGTTTCTGGGATTTGATTCCCTCTTTGATTCTCTCCCTTGAAATGTTAATTCTACAGAGTGCAATCCTGAAGGGAAGAAACACTCTCTTACTGCACATATCCAAGCGGACGTAACTGTGAAGGAGTCATTTTTTTCTTTTGTGTCTCAATTTTCATAAACTATGCTGAATGGGCGGTTCTTAAGTATAATATATGAGTGGACAGACGGAATGTCAAGTTGAGGTGAACACGAACGTTGAGAGGTAAATAAATCTTGTATGGAGGCCAAATAGTAATAGAAAATGAGAAGTATGAGGAATGAGAACATTCTAGAATGAAAGGAAGAGGCTATTTGAGCCATGAGAAACTGATGTTGGTTTAAATCTGGTCTTGCTGGAGGTTGATGTGTGTTGTGCGAATGAATCCTGAGTTGTGAGCATGATTTCTTCAACTGGTTAACTTAGAGAAACCTGGCTACTGCCTCCATGACGTCACAGTGCAGTGACAGAATGAATCTTTATGTTTTGATAGTAAGTACCAACATACTCGTGAACTCTAAGACCCTAGCAGCATTCATCCTGTGACATGTGTGTTGAGAGGACATCATCGTTGCAGAAGAAACTGAATTGTTATCAGCTCTTTAGTGTTTTCTCAACTTGTGTCCCAGTTCCAGTGTGCTGTGTTACAGCGCTTAACCAGTGTGTCAGAGTAGACTGCATTGAACAGAGTCCAAGGAGAGTTATTGTAATAACCATCATGATTAAATGACTTTCAAAAGCAAAATACAAACAGTTGTATACTCTTTTCCCGAATCTGCTTTTAAACTCCCTTTAGAGCTAAAGCCCTCAACCAGTTCACTTCAGACCCTTTTTTTTCCTGCTAAGTATTCACTCCAGTATTCACACGTTCTCAGTTTCAACTGACCAGACAGATAAACATGTGGATTTTTGTTTGAGAAACCTCGGTTATATGATTGTTTTTGTTTTCTTTTTGCATACTTGTTTATTACTGTCTATTCATGTCTTGTGCTGATGAAGGTTTTTTAGCCACAACATTCACTTGTTGTGTGTGACTGTAATAATATGAAGCTGACTAGTTCTGTATTTTTTTTTTTCATCTGCTTTCATAACCTTTAATTCAAGCCCTTTTAGACTGGTTCCATAATTAGTTAGATGTTACAGCCAAAGTTGTGTAAAGGTCGAGGTACCCAGCCTAGCAAAGCCTCTTTATTAGCTTCTTTTGCATTGTGAGTTAGGCAAAAGTGTTCTTTTTTTTGCTTTGCTTCTGTTATAGATCCCAGCAACAGACATATATTAAGTATGCTCTGATTATGAGAAACTAGAGGGCACATTAAACCTCACTATCAGGTAGCTGGTTTTCTGACTTTTAAATATTTGTTGATGACATGATATCTTTTAGCAGTGGTCAATAGGCCTACATGACTGCTTGGATAAGTAAGTGGGAAAGTAGATTTTACCCCACCAGGACATCAGACACAAAGTGGCACCATGTGGATGAGGTCCATCCACCCATGGAGAGGTCCAGGGAAACCCTGTTCAACCTTTAGGTTATATTAGGGTCCTGGCAACAACCAGGGTGGGGTTTCAAAATAAGGAAAAATTGCATCCCACGAGGGGTCGACAAATAATAGCTTGGATACTGGTTGCAACTCCATAATATGTTTGTTGACTTAGTGGGTATGATTATAATTTTAAAAACTATGGCAATATTATTTGGGGTGGCCAAAAAAAAATAATGTTTTGAGTTATTATGTC